AAATCCTTCATCAGTGATAACAAAAACCCCAAACTAAAAACAACCCAGCCTACCCTTCAGTGGATTTTAGCAGCAGCCTTACATCCAGGGATGTAATCAAATTCTACTATACAAGACAGCAATTCCCATTCAATGGCAGAGCAGCTTCATAATAGGGTGTTTTGCCAGACACAAACACATTTATTAAAGGGCCAGAGAAAACACATCCTATTAGAATAAAGCACAAATTACTACTTATGTGTTTAGACAAAGTGCATCCCTTCTTTTTCAATTAGTAGACAATTGCTTTTGTAGAGATAAATGTGCATAAAATGCCAGACAAACTTTAAATGCACTTACTAGACTGCACTGCCTCTCCTACAGACACTCAGGAGTGCAGCAGGAATGCAGGATGCCTTTTTCTCCTTTCCAGCTGCAGTCATGCACATCACACAAAGCCAGTCCTAGCAATGGGTGATACAGAAGATCATCTTACTAATCACTGCTCTGCTGCATTAATTTTGTACGAACTGGAGAGAATACAGAAGTACATGTGTAGTAATCTGTAGCAACAGACAGCACACATGAAGATACTTTCTTTTTTCATACAGTATTTAACAACTAAATAACAGAGGAGGTGGGGATCTGCTACATAACCTTAGTTACAGGATGATCAAATACTGACAAAAGTTCTCTTCTTACGCCGTTCACTACCAAGTAATAACATCTATAAGTTGCCTAATACAAAAGAAAATGGCATATTTCTAATTTTAGTGGTAATTAATACCTTGAAACACGATGAAACTCTTTTGTGAACTTCAACCTGGAAACCAGAGAGCCAATCTGAACAGAGAAGCAAAGTGCTCCTTTTAACCAGCTGAAAAGGGAACTCCTCACACTCCAAGTGCTTTTGTTTACAAGGCTGTAATTACTGCTATTCAAAGATTTATTTACAAAGTTACCTGAGCAGGAGTAGCAAGACATCAGAAAAGTTTTGAGCTATGCATGGACGCAAATACTTAAACAAAGGCATACAGGCCACGGGAAAAACAAATGAGGAGAGGATAATCACACTCCCTGCAGATGAGAAACTTTTAAACTCTAAGTAAGGTAACATATTATTAAGCAGTTCTGAAACTCCTGACTTCTTCCTATATACGCTTTGCTATGGAATATATTAACATATCATATTCCCAAATTCAATGTGTTCTTACAAAGTCTATTTAAACCACCAAGTTTTGTATCTTATCAGCAGGGTACTTATTTTCCAAACACCATCTAAAGCATAATGTCTCAGCTCTCAGCTCAGCCACCACATAAAGTATGTTACTACTCAGCTGTCACCAAGCCTTGCTGCCTTGGGATCCACCTGCCTAAACTCCCCTGGGACACACTGGTGGAGAATATGTGGCTTTAGACTGTATTTCACAAGACCTTGTGCTACTGGGCACAGCTAAATGTTCCCCCTTGAAGTTTTAAAGGCCAGGCTCTGCACAGCAGGACACCAGTGACCCGACCTTCCTTCCTCAAGACAACGACATTAGTAGCATTAAGCTTAGTGTCCTGCCTACCCCCTTCAAACAGGGAGGGGCAGAAAGACATGATGAGGTCATGGCATAAAACTTAAAGGTCAAAACCACCCTCCCAGGGTTGGACACTGTTTCACTGAACATCTGCCACCCTACTATCTAGTGTGAAATTCAACTGTTAGTGCATTTTCGTCTAAAGCACTCATAAATGTCCAACTCCTTTAACTAAAGAGAACATTTTAAATTAACAGTTAATTTTTTTTTAGTTTTATAATAATTTATACTTCATATATCAGTGTCAGTTACCTTCTGTCCTCACATTTCCACACATTTCTATCTCAGGTTCCACATTCTGCTTCTTTCCTTATTTTCCCTCCCAGTTCCCTTAAGTGCCAGTGGCTCACACAGGCCTCAGTCATTCTTTCTGGGGCAGAAAGTTTGAGAAACACGTGGAAAACTGACTCCTTCTACCTAAATGATAGCACCTTACTGTCCAGGTGTATCTGCCAGAGGAAAAATGCAATGTCTGTCTTCACCTGCTGAAGGGAAGGAGCACATCATCACTGGCTCCAGGGGAACCCTAAAAACCTGTCAAGGGAGTGTAAAGTCCATCTGCTGTACTTGCTCTTCCCAGGAATGCCGAGAGCGCTCTGCACCACGACTGTGCTTTCCCAGCCTCTCCTTAGGGCCCTTCCCCACAGTTAAAGAGCTTCAGGCTCTTTCCAAAAAAGTAAGAGAACAGAAGCAAACTTGCTCGACAGCTTCCCTGCTGCCCAGGGATTGCTCGCTTCTGGAGAGCCATTCAGTGCCTCAAAATCTGACAGGACTACCAGAGTACCCAAAGAAACCACTTATTGCCCTGTCAGAGCTTTCCAAATCTTGGATATTTTACAAATCCACTTTCATGAGAACTCTTAGAAATTCAATTGCAGGAGAACCAGCTGAAAAGGCTCTAAAAATTACATCACTACTGAGCTAATTACACTTCAAAATTCAAATAGGCATTTTCAGCTACTCATCTCTCATGAATTTCAGGAAAAAGGCTTACTGCAGAAGAATGTGGTAAACAAAACAAAAATCCTCACTTAACACATAATACAAGCTACAAAGAACAAACAAAAGAGAAAGGAAAGATGGTATTATAAGAGTGGTAAGACACAGAACAGAAACACAGTACCTGGACAGTGGTAAGACATTCAATACCAGAGTGTGGAATCAAAGTCAAGATGTCCCTTGCCACTTCTGCTTCAGAAATGTCACTGATCATTTCATTATATTCACTGTACAATGCACTCTGTGCTGCAATGTGCACATTTGTAAAAGAAAACATACTACCATACAAAGAAGGAAAAAAAACCCCAAGAGGTCCCCAAAGTTTTACTTACCACAGTAGTGGCAATATTTCTCTTATTAACTTCTAGACTTCACCCAAGTTACAGAAGAAATTAAGCAGACCAGAAGAGAAGCTGACAGCATATATCATAGGATCTCAAAAGGATTCCTCAGAGCCAGAACTTCACCCATTGTCACATTAGGCAGCAACCACCTCACCTCTATAGGTGAGTGTAAGCCACAAGTGCTGCCCAGGTGGCTCACCAGGGGCGGGAGCTATGGAGGACACCCCAAACCCACAGACACTCTCTGCAAAGCCGTTCTTTCTCTCTTCCAAAGAGGAATAGCATGGTCCTGTTGTCGGACACCTGACAGGACCCCAAAAATCTTTGACACCTCCTAATTCTGCCATTCAGTTACACACAGTACAGGGCATGTCACAACCTCACTGTGCAATGGCTTCTTCACCTGTTATAAATGGAAAACGATCCTTCCCTTCCTGGAAAGCTTCTGACAGCAGACAAGCAATGGACAAGTACCCCTACTGCAGAAATGCCCACAAAAATCTCTTTTTACCTGCTAAGAGCAAAACAGCAATTCTGTTGCACACCACCCCCAGTAACACCGAGGTCGCAGGACATCTTACCTGATTTTATAATTGGGTAGGGTGTGCTTGCGCTTAATAACCTTCTTGAACTGGTTCACTATGATGGAAGTGAGCTGGGGCATGGGCCTCCCTTCGAACTGGGACTTCACCTCGAACACTATCACGGGGTCGTCCATGAAAGAGAAGAACCAGTGAGTGAAGGGCAGACGCGTGAAGACCAGCTTCAGCTTCCCCATCACCCGGGAGATCTTCACGAAGAGATAGGCCGACTTGCCAAAGACCAGGTCGGCGTCGATGGCCAGGTGGAAGCCACCATTGTACTCCAGGTCCACCTCGAAGCCCAGCTCCTCGGGACAGCCCTCCTCGTTGCAGCACACCGGCCGGATGAGCTTCACCGACTTGAACACGGGCAGGACATCGCCGAGAGAGACCTCCCTGAGGCTGAGCCCCTCCAGCACCTTCCCCGTCATCTTGGCCTGGAGCAGCTCCTCGAACTCCACCTTGATCTTCTTGGTGACCCAGTCCCTGACCAGGGCAGTGTCCCTGAGCTCCCTGAAGAGGAAGAGGAAGATGGCATTGAGGAAGTGGCAGCTCTCCTCGCGGGAGGAGGGGGCCGGGGGGGGCTCCGGCTGCGGCGGCTGTTTGCTGCCGGGCTCGGGGCCCGGGGCGGCGGCGGCCGCAGAGGCCGGGGCCGGGCTGGGGGCCGGCTCGGCCGCGGCGGGGCCGCCGGCGGGCTCGGCGCCCTGCAGGTATTCCCTGAGGCCGTGCTCGGGCGCCACGCGCGAGTAGACGATGCCGCCGGGCGCGTCGCCCGTCCCGCCGGGGGGCTCGGGCTTCTTCCTGTAGAGGAGCAGGAGCTGGAGCAGGAGCGTGAGGCAGCAGCCGGCGAGCGCCGAGAGCAGGATCACGTACAGCAGCGGCATCCTGGGGCCCGCCGGGCCGCGCCGCCCCGCGCCGCCCTCACCGCGCCGCCACCGCCGCCATCGCGGGGCCGCGCCCGCCCGGCGGGTCCAACGGCCGCGGGGCCGCGCATACGGGTCACCCGCCGGACGGGGGCGGGGCGAGCCGCCCGAGCGGCCAATGGGCGGCGGCGCCGCGCGCCCTCCGCGCGCTGCTATTGGCGGAGCCCCCCGAGCAGCGTCACGGCGGCGCGCGCCGGTGTGGCGTCACTGCGCGGGTGGGGGCGGAGCGATGTGGGCGGGGCGGCGGCGGCGCGCGCAGGGGTCACACGGGGGCGAGAGGGGCGGGCGCGCTCCCGAGACATCAGCGGGGACACGATCCCGGGACGAAGTCCTGGGAAACACCATCCCGGGACACCAACCCGGGACAGACACCATCTCCGGACACGATCTGGGAAACACCATCCCCAGACACCAACCCGGGACGAAGTCCTGGGAAACACCATCCCCAGGCGCGCTCCCGGGCCGCCCCAGAGCCGCCCCGCCCGGCTCTCCCCAGGCGCGGCGAAGGCGCACCGGGCAGGGGACGGGGCCGGGCAGCCCCCGGCTGTGGAAGGGGGCCGGTGTCACTCGGGGCCGGTGACAGAGAAGGGCCGTCGAGCCCCTTCCAAGGCGGGCGGCTGGATGGTGGCTGTCTCAGTACTGTGACCCTGGGGAGGGGTGAAGGGATAAAGTCTGTCTTTACGGGCGTTCCTGTAACCTCTTTGCTACTGGTGAGAGGTGCTTGTAACTCATTTTTCACATTTTGAAAAAACTGCATGGATGACATTTTATCAAGCTCTGCTATCGTTGGTGGTAAGATATAAATCTGTTTCCGCCCTCTTCAGCTATCTCCTAAGGCTTGAAAGCCGTCATTGAACACATGAAGTAAAAAGCTAGGGAGGAAAGGAAGACGGAGAAAAGCAGGCTGAGAACTTTGCACACAACATGATGGTGTTTCAGCCTGTGCTGTGTGTGAGGTCACTGCTGGCCTGTGGGCAGGACAGTCAAGGACAGACGTTTCTTTGTAGGACAAAACTGCTGCTTCGATGAGATCAGAGAGGAGAGAAGAGGAGAGACCTCCCTGCCCAGGCTGCTCATAAGGCTTTCCGGGGAGGTGACACATCAGTCCGGGTGGAGACTCTGCAGAAAGGGTCGTTTTGAACATTTTAAGATTAGCCCAGAAGGCCCATCATATTCAAATTTGACTTACAGAATTGTCATATAAAATAACCACATTTTTACCGGAAAATATAATTGTACCTCAGAAAAAAAAAAACACCAACCCTGTTATTCTAATCCAGCAAACTCATTTAAGGGCCAGATCAAAGGTGAACATAGTGGTGGAGAATGTACTATGACAGCTGCACACTATTTTTCCAGGTCATTCCCTTTGTCAGGGGTAGTCTTTTCTTTCCCTCTTGAAATAGAAGTTTTATGATTTCAGAAAGGCAGACACGGTGCAGACAAAAGTTACTTAAATAATAAAGCTTGTTTTCAACACCAGTTTTTATGTTTAGTTAAATACCTAGCTAAAAGATTTTTAAAGAATATTATATTTTAATAGAATAAAAGGACATTTATGCTCACCTTGTTGGTTGGGGGGTTTTTTCCAGCCCCCAGAACTGCTTAAAAATGCAAACAAGAGGAGAAGAAATGTGCAGTTTTATTGCCAGGAAGATAAAAGCTCTCTTCCCCATCCCCCTTCATGAAGTGTGTGGGGTGGGAGGATTGAAAAGCTCATAATGATGCAGTGCTGTGGTTTGAAACCAGAGATTCAGAGTATGAATTTTTTATAGGTCTTGTGACTGCAAGTTGAAATGCCTGGGTGTTTAACAGAGCACTCCTATAGAAATACCAGAGAGGTCATTAGTCCAGCACTGGAACTGCTCTGTTACGGGCCTGTACCATGGCTAATACAGGCACACTGCAAGAATGGAAAGGTTTGGGATTTGCAACTAAATGGCTTTCAGATAAGGAGTAATATATTCAGAAAGGCAATAGCAGCCTTGCTTTTGGGTCAGGAGGAACAGCAGGAGAATAAAAAAAAGTCGTGTTGCAGAAGACTCAATTGAGTATTTTCTTCTGTTAGACAAGCAGAATAGGGAATTTGGCACATTTTGTGCACCTGATGGCAGCTTAAGAGCCTCTGAAATGTTCAGCTCAGTAATCGCTTTTCTCCTTTCCCAGGAACATTTTCAACAGGAGCTGTGTTATCTCAAAGGGCACGTTAGGAACAAGAATCAGGCCTGGTTTAGCATTTTCTGTGAGAATGGGAGAATGGAGGGAAATAGCAGCAGATGCATTAACATAAATACAAAATGATTGTGCAAAAATATTATACAACACAGACTGAAATAAGAGAGAAAAATATTTAAATTTGTCAGGTAGAGGAGAAGAAAAGGATTCATCTTAATACCATCTAAAAAGGGCCTTTAAGAGCATATTTTACTTTGGCTTCAGTTTGGAAGCTCTTATTTGCATTTTCTGAAAGTCTAGATAAATAAAAAGTTGTATTTAGTCTCACCAATTTCTCCCTGGTTATGCAGAGCTTTGTAAAATGGTGTAGAACGTACTCAACTATTTACTCTTTGAACAGCAGGAAATTATTGAATAAAACACAAGACACGCAAAAAAAAAAGCCTAAATTTGTATTGATTTTTTCAAAAAGTACTAGGAAATAGTTTATTAAAAGGCATTTATATGAAATATATTTGACATAAATATATTTCATATATTTAAATAAGGAAAATACTCTTTTAGTTTGCAAATCAATTTAGGACGTGATGGCAACAAACCTGTAAGTGTAGAACTTCAAAATTAATTTTCAACATTTTGCAGGAGATTGTGACAGTGATAGTGTACAAAGATTGCAAAATGTGTAGAGTTCTGTAATTGGTAATAGAGAGCAAGTAGCATGAATTCACTGAAGGGGTGTGTTTGAGCAAATTCTCCTGTTCTAAGCAAAGACTAGTGACACTCTTGGAACATTTGTCTTGATTCGTCTCACTCATGACTGATCCAAGGATCATTGGGCTTAGGAGCAGCTTTAGAAACCCCAGGCAGTAGGACCAGTTGAAGAGACACACTTCAAATTTCCCATTGCAGCACCACAGAAACAATCATCCATGTCACAAGCTGGGAAAGGCAATTTCACATGGGGTGGGTTTTATTTTTTTCAGAACTGCAAAGTAGTCATAATAGATTATTTTTCAAAGCAGGAAGTGCTGGGTTGTTTTGTAATGAGTGGTTTTAGTAATTTTCTCCATCACTGGACTGGAATCGTTGCCTTCTTTTGTAATATCTATTGGCAAAATTATTTCATTCTTTCCTGGGTCTCCTATTGTTTTTGTATTACATCTTTTAGAGACCAAAATTAGATTATCATTCTCATGGTGCTGTGTGAAACAGGATTTAGAAAGTGATTAGGTAAATTCATGAGGAAAACAATCCATTGAAGGCTATTAAATACAAAGATTGCTGGAAGTTACTGTGGTGACAAACTGCTGGAGGGTGTCTTTTTCTCTTGTCTGTCCTCAGGCATCTACAATTTCAGCCAGGATATGCTGCACAGAGTATACTGGTCTACTCCAGTCCTGAAGATATGTTAAAAAAGAAAAAGAAACACAGTGATCAGGACTGCTTCCAGTTCTAGTTCTCAACTCTGCCAAGCACAGTGTTATCTTATTATCAGGTGATTCTGCATTTTATTGGTGAAAACCTCTTTAAAAACACTGAGACTTTAGGTCATGTGAGATTTTATCTGATGCCATCTAAATCCCTGCTTTCTTTTTGTTTTAATTCTGCCTCTGAAGGGGCAGTTTGCAGTAGGAATGTGCCCCCAGTGCTGGCAGAAAGAGCTCACCCCGTCTCCAGCTGGAGGAATTTGCCTCACTGCCCCTCTGAGCCCATTTTTGCACAGAGGATGGTCCATCTCTTGTGGCTTGGTATTTGTTTCCAAGTCCCTCAAGTACATTTCACTCTTATAAGCAAAGTTCCCCCACTCAGAATTTGTGGCAGAAAGTACAGTTTGGGTGACTCAATCATATTTAGGCTGTATTAGTGCTACAGAGAACCACCAGAAGATTGCCCGCTGGAATAAATCACTGGATCCATTGAGTTGAATGCATCCACTTGTCCCACTGAAAAATACAACACTCCCCCCTCCCTCCCACTTCTAGTTATTTTTAGGGATGGCAAGTGAGAATTTTAGGAGGGTTTATTCCTGTTGTAGAAATGTCTCACTGCAAGACCTCTTTTCAGGATAGAAATGCGTATTACATGTTGCTTTTTGGTGGCCCCTGCCTGACAGCCTACCCCTCAGTTTTCAGAGACAGTGAGAAACTCCAGGGTTTGCTTTGGAATTGTGAATACTGTGTGTAGCAGGAGAAAAAAAAAACCAAAACAACTCCACTGGCTGCCCAAAGATGCAGATGCCCCAAATTGGCACTCACATCTGAAAAAGAAGAGGTTTTTAACTTTGTGTCTAAATTTATGGGTCTAGTGTAATCTGTCTGACAACAGAGGTACTCTCATTTATGAACATATTTGCAATCTTACCTGCAACAAGTAAGCACTCGAGCTGGTTGGTAATAGTGGCTTGGAGTCCAACCACTTTGGATCAGAACATGTTAAAACAAAAAAGGGAGGGAGGGTTTGCATCTAAGGTTTAGTTTGGCCCAAATACAAATCCAGTATTTTCACTGAAGCTCATCTTTAATTATCTTTTGAAGTATGTTCTGCTTGTTTAATCAAGAGCTTAACATTTTGGATGTAAAGATGCTTTGGATACTTACTTCAAGAGGCTCATCATGTTCAAGCTTAAAGTATCCTGGTTCTTAATTAGGGATTTTGTTACTATTTCGCACAGACCCTGGCATTTATTATATCATGAAACAAGATCCTCCACTTGGGAACTGTAGAGCTCAGATAACTTTTCCAAAATTAAATAAAAAATTTTAAAAAGCTATTTTAATTGTAAATGCAACAAATTCAGGCTTTTAATATTACCAGTATCCAAGTCAAACTGAAAATTTCCTTTATTCCCTGTCTGCTGTTACATCTTAAGTCCAGAAACTGTTCTCTAATTCGCAGATGCAAGTGAGACTTGTCACATGTATTTTGCTTCTTCCTGCATTTACTTCACTGATTTCTGGTATTCATGTAGATGCCAGCTTGTTTGAGCTTTGGAAAGTGATAGGTTTGGGACAGTTATTATCACATTTGTCATTTGGTGTTCACTCAAGTACCTTTTCCTTGCATATTCTGAAGCAGATTCACCATCCCTACTCAGAAGTGCCAGCAGCCTCCCCGAGGCCCTCTTGCACGCTCCCAAATAATGTTTTTCAGAGTGGAGATTGTTTTAGCTACTTCCCCTAATCCATTTCAAGTATAATTACACTATGGTCAATATGTTTTTGATGTTCCACAACCTCACATTATTTTTTTTAATACTTGGCTCACTTCCTGGATTAGTCCAAAGCAGCCTCTGGCTGATGGAGAGGCTTCGGGAAACTGCATTAAAAAGCAATTTTGAGTTTATATAAGGATTCAATGGCTGAAGGGTTAAAACACATTTCAGAGATGAATATAGTTTTTGAGATGAGGATCCCTGTGAGGCTTTGTGGCTCACTTGCCCTTCATTAACAGTGTAATTCCCTGCGTGGTCTGCAGGTATTTTTGGGTCCGGGCAGCAGCCGGTCCCGGAGCATCTGCTCTGGCTCTGCAGCCTCCGGAGGAGCTCAGCCAAGCCAGGCCAGGGCGAGAGGCTCCGTCCCTTCTGCTGGGGGAGCCCCCCGCTCCCCCCTGCGGGAGGGTCAGAGCCGCCCCGTGCCCTCCTGCAGACCCCTGGGGCAGAGCAGACCCCGTCCATGGCCTTTGTGTCCCACCCGAGGGAGGGGACAGGCTGCGGGGGGAGCGGGAGGAGCCCCTGGCACCGCCCCAGCCCGAGCTCCCGTCCCGCTCCCAGCAGCGCTCACCCAGCAAATCCTGCTAATCCAACCCCGCAGCTCCAGCCCCGGCAGCAGGGACAGGCCAGGGCAGGGCTGGGGGGTCTGGAGCTGCTCGTTCCCCCCGCCCGTCCCGGGGCTGGCTCGGCTGGAAAGAAAAGCTGAGTAAGGAGGCAGTAGGGATTTGAGGGAACCCTCTCCACGCTGCAGGGAATAACTCAGAAATTTTATGTCAGACCTGAGTTTTCTTGGGAAAGGAAGATTCTGAGATTTCTCCATTATTCACCTCGGGGTCTCTCATTGCTGCTGTGTTTCATGGTGGTATCAAGCCACTAAAAGGAAAAAAAAGGCAATTACTGCTCAGGTCCTCTGCGTTCTGGAGAAGGTGTGGTTGGTGTGAGTGCAGGGACAGGCATGACTGGGTACTGTCACTGTGGGGCTCCCTGGGTTCTCAGTGCTCCTGAGCACCTGCAGGGGCTGTACAGAAAGCTGTCCATGTGAGCATTCTAAATGCATTTGTGGAGCTGAACCTTTCATAAATGCCTAAAGAGATCCTTT